ACACATATACACACACACACACATATATATATATATATATATGTGTGTGTGTGTGTATGCATGTATGTTAATGTCCTCCTTAAGGTCCATTATCTTTTTATTTGCTTTTTGAAGCAATCTGGTATCTGGTAAATAAAATCCTCAACTAGTTAAAAGATACTGTTTAACACATCCAATATCTGCAGAGAGTATCATAAAAGAAGGATTAATTTCAGGTAAAAACAGTATACAGAAGCGCTTTGTTGACATTGATCAGCTGACTGTCACTTCCGATGACAAAGTCACAAGGGCCTGAAGGAAAGAGGAGAAACAAAACTCGGCAGAAATGGTGTTGTTGGTAGTTAAATGACTGGATGAGACAATCCATCACAGCTGGCAGCTTCTCCTTGACAGAACCCTCTGATACGGGCCCAAAAAACTGGGCCCGCTGTGAAGATCAGGCGCCAGTAGGTTTGTGCTGGTGTAGTTTCTCTCGCAGGCTTATGGCAGCGGTCAGGCTCTGTTAACTTAAAATCCAGGTGAAAATCCAGGTGTTGATAAAAACAATCAAGATGTAAAGGGTATATCATTAATAAGGGCTTAAAAACTGGATAAAAAGTCGATTTACGACAGAGACTCTGTAAGGGAAGACAAAGACACCGAGCATTCACTTAAAATGTTCATGATAATGAAGGAAAATGACAGACAGTATATTAGCAATCAAATATGTCAAAGAAAAAACAGTGAATATTTATATAAATAATTAATTGAATATTAAAATTGTTGCTCAATTGACTAACACAGATATCACAGAACAAAAATACAAAATAAAAATGTACAGTTCTAAAACAAGCAATATAAAACACAAAATAAGACTACTACAAAGAAAAGTAAAAAAGTATGTTAATGTATACTAGAAGTGAACTATAAAAACACAAAAAAGGACAATTACACATGATTATTAAGACCAGCTGAGATACTCCATAACATCGGCATATAGAAGATTGTGTACAGAAATCCTGCAACAGTGCTTTGAAATGGCTTAGGGGAACCATTGAGTACAACTTTAAGTCCTTCTGCAGAAAACTCCACATATAAGGCGCTGCATACATAAATCCGTGCTTGCCAAACTCTGTACGGACCCTTGGTACAGACAATAAAAACATGTTCTGAAAATGGAAAGCATAGCCATTTTCAATTTTTTGCTTAATGTACATACATAAGTATGCAGGAAGTAGACCAAGAATAGCTTTGTAAACTAGAGAATGGCAATGAAAAAGTCCACCAAATTGTAAATAGAGCCAGCCAACCCGAGCATACAGGATACAGTGATGAGTTAGGGGCTTACAGTTGATAATAAATCTCAATGCACCATGGTACACAGAGTGCAAAGAGAAGCAGTTTCTATTCAGTTTCAGCTTCAGCTTTTGAGCTAGCTCTGTTGTGTTTGATAACATTGTTGAACGTAAACAGAAGTGACACCCAACGGTGCTTAGTGTGCCTTTAAATAATAATATACACTCAACAAATGAACGAACAACTGAATGAATGATTGTTTCTGTTACATGTAATGTCCAATAGAGGGAGACATAGCATTAAAAAAAAGCACCAAAAGGAGGCACTGTAATGTGTATTTTGTTTCAGTCCGGTAGGTATCGGTTGTGTAGCTACCGGCAGAGATGGGCAAAAATACATCAAAATGTATTTTGATATAAAATACAAAATACCCCTCAAATAAATGTATAAAAATACTGGTGCCAGAGAATGTATCAAAATAAAATACATGTATTTTGTATTTTCAAATACAGAAAATACTTTATTCTTTTTCTTTTTAGCAGCGACCCACAGCTCTATAGGTCACTCAGTCTTTTCGTGAATAGCTCAAAAAGTCCTTGACCAAAAATGCTCAAAATTTGCATACTGCAACTAGAGACCATGAGTAACTATACCAGAAAGAATGCCCATGATTCGTCCATAGGTGGCGCTATACTAACCGATTCAGATCTTTTTGTGAATAACTCAAAAAGTCCTTGACCAAAAATGCTCAAAATTTACATGCTGCAGTTAGAGACCACAAGTAACTATGCCAGAAAGAACAACCATGATTCATCCATTAATGGCATGATAGTAGCAAATTTGGTCGCAGCTATTGCAAATTTGGGCTTGTTTTCTCACAATTTTGTATAGCCGAGTATTCAGGTTCAGGCTATAGGATATACACAAAGCTCTGGTGAACCCCACAAAAAGGCAGAACAGTCACAGAACTAACTAAGCATAACTAAGCAAAGTCATTAAAAGACAACAACTTGATTATGTATATATATATTTATTAACCAGGCTTAACAACCCATAAACTTTTTTGTATCAACAAATAAAATATTCACAGACACTGTGATAATAACATATGAATAGCATTAGGCCTATGTGTACTATAAAAGTCATTTGAATAAAAACATCAAGCTCTGCACAGAAAAATGAATAAAACTAAATGGTTAATGAATATAAAAGTGAACAGGCAGGCTAACTTAACAACAAGTGAGTAGCCTATACATTTCTCTCTTTCGTTGGCCAGTGGGATGGTAGTAGGGTTAGGGTTAGGCTATTTTGGTTCTTGAGGCCCAACCACTAAGGAGCCAGTTTAGTTGCCTTTAAGAACAACTAACTTTTCAAGTATTTCTGTAGTTAACCGCCTCCTGTGTGGATGGAACATCATTCCTGCATCCAATATTATAAGAATGTGTAGCCTATTATTTTTGTTTTTTTGATTTGTGAAGAAAGTATTTTGAGTATTTTAAAAACAAAATTACTCCACTCAAAAGTATTTTGTTACAAATTACATTTGCATTTTATCGGCCTTATCAAATACAAATGACAAAATTCTCAAATGTAATTGAAATACGTATTTTAAATACAAGTAATAGAAATACTGCCCATCCCTGGGTACCAGTTCCATATAAGCAGCGACTTTCGGTACCCAACCCTACTCTTAACAATAGTGTGGATGTTTGAAAGCTCTACCTTGGCTTTTGTGAGTAACATGCATTTTGTTTTCTCAGCATTCAAGACAAGCTTCAGATTGAACAGAAATTTTTGAACAGCATTAATGGTTGATGAAGCTGGGAGAGGACCTGAGTCTGAGTAGCAGCAGAGCAATAAATAACTGTCATCAGCATACAGATGAACACATGCATCAGGTACATTATGACAGAGGCTAATTAAGTACATACAGAACAACAGAGGCCATAATACAGACCCTTGAAGCACCTCATTGGTAATTGTAAGAGGGGCAGACAACATGCCCTCCTCTTGTACATATTGCACTCTGCCTGATAAATAATTTGCAATTCAACCAACTGCTTTGTCTGATAGACCAATATGATGTAATCTGTTTATCAGTATTTTATGATCTTCTGTGTCAAAGGCCTTAGACAGGTCAACAAGGACAGCAGCACAATGTGGACCACTATCCAAGGAATGTACCAAATCATTAACAACTTTTAAAGCAGCAGTAGTAGTGCTATACTTTTTTTTCAAAATCCAGATTAATAAACAGATAAAATATCACTTACCTGTAACAATTATTCAAGCATTTTGGCCAGGGCTGTGAGTTTAGAAATGGGCCTTTAGTTGTTTTGCTGGGTTGGGTCACTAGCTTTTAATAAGGGCAGAACAAAAGCAGATTTCCAGATAAGAGGAATTTTGTTTAAAGACAGAAAAATTAAGAGGGTATTTTAAAGGAGAAACAACAAAATCAGCTGCTAGATTTAAAAAGTAATGCTCTAGATTATCAGGATCTGCTGACTTGTTAACATCAAGCATATTCAATGCCTTACAACCCTCAGTGCAGGTACATTTTTCCAGAGCAAAAGGCACAACATGACTTACAGGTCCAGAATAATTCGGACAAAACATATAAAACAAGATAAAAAGAGTCAAAAGCCACAACATTGCTTAAGGCCAGGTGATTCATTGCTCGCACACAGAGATCAGGGATGTGCGATAGGGCCTTCCCCAGCACTGGCACGGCAGAGCTCCCTGCATCCCCTGCTGTTCAGGGAACAGCCAGCCGTCAGTGTGGAAACCAGGTGATCCACTGGTTGTACACAGAGATCAAGGCCGTGTGATAAGCCTTCCCCAGCACCAGCACGGTGAAACTCTGTGCGTCCTCCGCTGTGTCAGGGAGCGGCCAGACATCAGTGCGGAAATCAGGTGAACCACCACTGGCACGCAGAAATCAGAGTCGCAAGGCAAGCCTTCCCGGCACCGGCACCAGCACCGGCACGGCATAGCTCCTCTCTACAGGCGTCAGGGCTCTGTTCCACCACTGCTCCAAGACACCGCCCACTGCTCACCCAGCCTGGGATCCGGAGCAGAGCAGATCCAGCTAGGCCACCACAGCTACCAAAGCTACTCCTAGCAGGTAAATGAGGGCTGTACATGGAAAACTCGGTCAGGAAGGAGACAAAACTTAGACGCGGATAGGGAGTTGACTCAATGCCACTCTTGAATTTACCACGAGAAAGTAGATTGCTTGCTGCTTATGGCGACGATCACACTTGAAAATGTATTATTTATATTTAATACATTAAAACACAACTGTGGAACTTAATAGAGACCAGTATATGACTGAGATAATGCTAAAATATCACAGAAATGAGACAAACAATCTCTGAGACGCATGAGCTGCCATCTTGGATTGTATTGCCTATATCTTTAATAATATCTGGATCATGCTGTCAGAATGCTGTCATTAGCTTGTTTCCCAACTTTGCTTATGAAGGCATGGATGTTTCTAGTTGCCTTTCTGCCAGCTCCACTAAATCTGTGCTGAATTTATGCTAAATTTATGCTATTATGTCTATTTTGCAAGTGTTGGTGTTGCTTTTTGTGGTTGATTTTGGCTGGTGGTGGCGTATGACTGCGAGTCCCTCATCAGGATGAGGACATCAACTTACCAGTCTTTAAACCTACCTCCTGCCTGCTTGTGCTAATTTTGGCAGTCTTGAGAAAAAAAATGCAAAAGATTTTTGTAAACTTTTGGTCATTATGTTTTCTAGATGTTTTTTGTCTTTAAACGAATCCAGTGAGGCTAATTCATGTATCAGACATTAGAATCAAGGTGACAGGCTGTAAAGACAGTTTTGTTCTACACCTACAAATAATTTCTGCACACTTACAAACTGTCATTTCTGCAGCAGTGTTTGACAGGTTTCAGGGGTGATTTACAAGCACACACTTACTGATCATCTCAAAAGAGATGACTAGGATTTGTACCCAGGTTCACTGCAAACTCTGACTTATCCAACTATTCTTTCTTAATCTGCAACATGTTAGTCTGGAGGTTTAAACTTGTTTCCTCTCACAGAGTTGGTGATTAAAACTAAACATTGATCTTTGTCAGAGTAAACTGATCTGAGTTCAGGCTGTTTACTTACGGCAGTGTCATCAGCTGTCAAACACCATCAACATATAACATAGATTTCGTCTTAGTTTTTATAATTAAGATCTATTTTAAGCTTATCATCATCTCATTTTCGTCATGGGAAAAGGATTGTTGACGAAAAATTTTCGTCATAGTTTTTGTCAACGAAATTAACACTGCTGCTGCCGGCTAGCTAGGTCGAGGTTTTCAAATTTAAACATCAGAAAAGATGGAGAAGATGGCACCAGCTGAATTAGCATCCTGCTAGCCATTGTACAGGTGTTGGAAAAATAAATTTGATCACCTTTGTGCTGCATCAGTTTCCAACAGTATATCAGGAACTGGAATATCCTTTGATTCACCAAAACTTTGCGAAATCCTGGACAGCGCCATTCAGTGAAGTGATAGTTTTTCTATTTGTATATGCTGATCTGACAGAGCAGAGATTTCTGGCAGGGAAGGAGAGGAGGTGTGCACTTTACAGTGAATAAGGACTGGTGGGACAGTGGGAATGTGAGGTGCTGTCCTGTTCCTGCTGTTAATCACTGCTATACACCGTTCAGAGGTGGCTGCGGAGTGGTGCTGCCAGTGTTAGGGAGGAGCAACCATAGGCCCGTTTCCACCGCAGCAACTTCAAGGTAATTTTACGGGGCCAGGGCCGTTGGTGCGTGTCTCCACCGCAGGAACCATCCCCGAAGGACAGATTTCCAGAACTTTTACAGGGGCTAAACATGTCCCTGCCTCGGAGTAGGTACTCAGAACAGCGCCGAAAAACTCCTAGGTGGGGCTTGGGGTTTACTTGGTGCTGATTGGATATACTCAAGGCGGGATGTGACGTCAACAGAAAGCGATAAAATATGCCGCGTCGCCCCAGTCAAAATGGTCGTGCAACGATTACGTCACATCCAGAGCCCAGTAACTTTACAGGAACCTTCCTCCTACTCCGCCCTCTCAGTGGAGACATGGCCGTTGTAGCCTCGCTTCACCAGGCTCTTCATGTAAAGTGAAGAGCCTGGTTTCTATTCACTCTGAATTTTGTCTGGATTCTGGTTCCGGTCTAGAGAGCGGATCCGGAATTCACCAGATTCACCAAAGTAAAAGTGTTCACCAAAGTAAAACTTTAAATTCTGGCGCACCATCGATTTGGGGTGACGAGGGGTGTAAGAAAATCGATTAACTTAATGGCTTGGGGCTTTTCTTGTAAATTATATTCTTTAAATTAAAAGTTTCACCGCATTTTTATTCGCTTGGTGATTTTATTTTGACGGAAAGGTGCATCCATCGAATTCCGGATCCGGTCTCACTCGCCCTGGTTCCGGTTCCTTACCAAAACGGCCACTAACGGCCCCAGACTACGGTGGTTGAGAGGGCCAAGCGAGAGGACGTTCCTGTAAAGTTCCTGCCCTCCAAATAGTACCAGGAACTTCTTCAGTGGAAAAGGGCCTCATGTTCCAGATGGTTCTGTTTTACCAGAACCATCTGGAACATGGACAGTTATAAAGCAGCAGCCAACAATGTAAGAAAAAGCATAAAATGACTAAATTACAGTGCACAAGTGAAAGAAGCTGATTGGATCACATTTCACTGAAATTGTACCTTGTAATTCCACTGACAAATAAATGGTTAATTGATTGACTGACTGAATCCGTGGTCAGACTCAGGGATGTTGTGGGTCTCTTAAAGGAGAGGTTCATGATTTTTCAAGTCTATTCTTTAACCACCTGGATGCCCTGTTTTATATCAGTTCAGTTTTTATTATTCTTTATAGATATGGATATATAATAGTGTGCTTCACCACACTTATGTTTACCTGAGAGGGCTGTCCAGCTTTGGCTATCTTCTTCTGTAGTTTTGGAGAACGTGGGAAAGGCTGAACAGCCCTGGCATCATTTGAGTCCAATGGAGTGAAGCTCAGTCCGTCCTGCAGTACATTGTGGGTGCCTGCAGAGGGTCCTGGAAGACTACTCTGTCCTGACTGAGCCACTGTGGACTGTCCATTACCAACAGATAATGCCTTTTTCTCTGCCATTTCTGAGGACTGAACAACACAACAAACAGATTTTAAACCCCCACCTGACAGATTTCCTCCTTTCCAAGGCTTTTTCAGTATATTTGCTTTAGCTGTGTTTGCAGAGGAAACCAGTCCTACAGGTTTTTGAAAAATCTGTGGAAACCTGCCTGATCTGAGTCCATGCCAAGCTTTTTGCAAAAACCCTGCCCAGGACATGGTCTCATTTTCTCCACAGATTTACTAAAGATAAAATCATAGAAAAAACAAAGTCATTCTCACAACTCTCTGTATTTTCAGCATTCAATTTTGGCGTATGTCACATTTATACAGCTGCAAAACACTTTTTTTTCAGTCAGACAGTTCCCTCCTTACTGTAGAGTCAATCTTTAGACTTCTGCATGCTGTAACAGCAATATTCATAATGCATCAAATACAGTCTAAACACTACTCTTTTATCATTATTAAACATAGTTTTCTTAGTGTTTCTTACCTGAGGTCTCTTTATGTGGTCTCTGCTGTCTGTGTCTGTAAAGAATGTGACAGGTAAAAGTGCAGAGAGGGTGTGTTCTTGTGTTACAAGCTTCAGCCTGTAGCACACTCTCTGTAACCTTGTTGTTACCTGGATACACACATCAGGCTTCACTGTGTGTTTGCTGACATTGTGTGTATGTATAATAGATAAGTTTAGACTTGCTTTGTGTTTGAGCCTGCTCTTATTGGACAACAGAAGCACAACTGCACAATGAATGTAGTCTGAATGTTGAATGCTGAATAACACATCATTTTTTTCATGATGCTTCAGATACGCTCAGTTCTACAGCCAGGATGAATTCTGTCTCTACAACATGTTCAACCATCACTTTTTTGATGGAGAGGTAAGACTTAAAAACACTTCTGTTTCATATGTTTGATTTGCAGTTCACTATTAAGCATTGTCTCTTGTTAGGCTTCCGCAGTCCTGCAGGCCTTCCTCACTGAATGTGACGGGCAGAAGGTGGTGATGGTGGTTGACCCTCCGTTTGGTGGCCTAGTGAAGCCTCTGGCTAATAGTTTCTCTCTAATTTCACAGACATGGAGGAAGCTGCAAAGCTCAGGTCAGTGTCACTGTGGAGTTTGATGTTTTATCCTCTTGCATTTTTCACTATTTTCTCACAGATCAGCTTCCTGCTCTGACTTTTGGGGTTCCAAAACAGGAAATTATTTTCGCCGTAAGAATTACCCATAAAATAGGAAAACAGTATCACAATAGAGTATATCAAAGAATGAATACTATACACAAAATACAACAAAACAGACCTGTAGGTTCAAGACAGGTTGACACAACCTTTGTTTTAAGTCATGTGCTGGTTTGGTTTTGTCTGGGCTGTCAGCCGAGCACGGCAGGGATTTGCATTTTCAATACGACAGGGCTACCTGCTTGAAGGTGTGTCTTTGACTGATGATGGCTTGTCTTGAGTGATAACATTTAAAAGCAGCAGGCTGATCTTCGGCTAAAGTCCCCTGTTATTTTTGCTGCATGTGTTTTTCCAGCACACAGCTGGGCAGGTAAAACAAGTTTACCTGCTGGAGGTGAGCTGTTTTCTGTGGCTGTTTCTGCTTTCACTTTCTTCCTTGCAGTATCACTTTATTGAAGAAAAGCCACTAACAGAGTTCTGCTAATTCAGTGATATTTTTCTGCTTCACAATAAAAGTCCCCCATTATTTTGTTATGTAAAAACTTTAGTTGTGAAGCAGAAAAATGAGGAAATGTTTTTGAGAGTTTTGGAACAGCAACCTCACACAACTTCCAATACTGCTGATAGTGAACATGAAACAGTAAAATAAAGCAGATATCTAAAGTAAAAACAGCACACAGGAGAGAAACTAAAGTCCAATCCACAGAGATTCAGTTAGAAGCTACAAAAGTACTGAGAACTGAATACACAGAGACGCCTTTCTCTCTGGTCTCCTGCAGTCAGAGGTGAGAAGAGTCTTGCAACACACACAGCTTGTTTGAGAGGGAGAAGTGGGGTTGTCGGGGGCTGGCTGCGGTCTTTGAGACCTCACCACTACCCACTTGGAGAAGGTCCATCTCTGCCGCAGGTTGACTTGGCACGGCACATCTAAACTGATAATGAAAACGCAAATCGGTGCGGCATGCGGCTTGACTTGGTGTGGCCAAAAGTGACTGTGGAAAAGGCCCAAACTTGTTTTTGGACACTTATTTAAAGTAGAATTGATGCATTTCCTCACCAGCAGGGAGTAGCAGAACAAGCTCTAAACCCAAGATTGTCTCATTATTATTATATGAAGCTGGTAGTGTGATAATGTGTTGTTTACATTATCATTACATTACATTACTGCCTAGAGTCAGGTAATAATTGTGTATGGGTTTGTCACTACAAGTGACCCTTTTTGCATTACACATAGTCACTTTATCCATTGTCCATATATACATATTGATTTCTGCAGTTTAAGCCTCTCATACCAACATATACATAAAAATACAGAATTTTTGATTCTACTACTTTGAGTGTGTTTTAGAAGAAGAGCCAGTGTTGCAGTGTTTGAAGCTAACATCTATTTTTTTGGTTTCTTTGTGCAGACTGCAGCAATGCTGACATGCCCATGATATGGATCTTCCCATATTTCTTTGAGTCTCGCATCCTGGAGTGTCTCCCCTCATTCACCATGCTGGACTACCAGGTATGCTGGCTCTGCATCACTTTTGGCTACTGATTAATACAGACATAGCTAGCAGACAGATATTGAGGAAAATGGCTTTAGAGCTTACCTGTTAGGAATCATGTAAAACAGTACCTGTGTGTGACTTGATTTATGCCTCCACGCTGGCGATAGCCATGGCTGGAGGAGCCATATTTTTCAGGTTATCCCTCTACCTGCCTGTCTGTCCCATTCTTGTAATGTCTTAACGGTCTTGGGCCATCTTTTTTTATCTGACCTGCTTTTATCATATCCACCCTCGTGGCTCCTGAGGTCCTCCGGCACCGGCCTTTTAACTGTTCCAAAAGTTAGAACAAAAACCCACAGGGAGGCTGCATTCAGCCATTATGGCCCTCACTTATGGAATAGCCTGCCGGAGAGCATCAGGACTGCAGAGACTGTTTTTAAAGGAGACTCAAGACTCACCTTTTTAGTTTGGCTTTTAACTGATTTCTTTTACACTTTTAATTCTTCCATTATATGATATTTTAATTTCTAATGCTTTTAAATGATTTATTTTTAAATCTTTATGTATTTTATTATTATTAAATTTCTAAATCTTCATTTATTTATTTATTATTAATATTATTTTAATCTTTAAATCTTTAATTTTTTCTAAATCCTTACATTTTTATTCATTTTATCATTATTTTGTCTCATACTTGTTTTATCTCATCATTTTGCCTTTTAGTCTTTTAGTTTCTATCCCCAGTGTTTCCTCATGGGGGGCCTCCACACTGAGAGGTGTGTCCAGTCGGCCTGCGGGGACGTCGTCCTGGAGATCCCTCATGTCCGGAGGACTGGGAGGCTCTGCACCATGTGTGGAGTCTACCCCGGTCTGTCTGGGTCAGGGTGGTCTCTGTGGCAGCGCTCCCTGTGGCCGTAGGCTGTGACACCTCTCAGTGTGGATGAGCTCCCCATAGGTGGTTCTTTCGTCACCTGGTTCATCAGTGCCCAGCCATGTTACTATATTGACTATATTGAGTGTGTGTGTGTGTGTGTCCGTGTGTCCGCGTGTCTGGGTGTCTGTGTGTCTGTGCGTGTTTATATGTGGGGGTGGGACGGGCGGGTTTTAAATATGTATGTAGTATTTTCATTGTATGTTTTTATTCTGTGAAGCACTTCGTGCTGCATTTTTAATGTATGAAAAATGCTATACAAATAAAGTTTGATTTGATTTGATTTGACTTAGACTCAAGAATGAACTGAGTGAAAATTTGTGGTTGTAGGTCAAAGGTCAAGGTCATTGTGGCTTCACAAAACATGTTTTTGGCCATAACTCAATAATTCTTATGTTGATTATGACGAAATTCAACCCCAACGTCTAACAGGATATAATGATAGAGAGGTGACATTTTATATCCAAAAAGTCAAAGATCAACTTCACTGTGACAGCATGAAACACTTTTTTGGGCCATTATGCGATATCATATCTCAGGAACAGAAGGAGAGACATTTGGTCAGATACTGAATTAGTGACACTAATCTTCAGGGTCCACCTTAAAACTGTGTTGATTGTATAGATCTTCTGTGCTTGCAGGGAGAAGATGTGTGTGAAGCATCCATGTTTTCACAGTCATGGATGTAAACTGTTAGTGCAACTTGACTGGTTCACGGAGGCATACGACTGCAAAGCAGTAATTAGAGTTTTTCACTGTAGTACCTGACACACAGACCACAGTGGTCCAATGAAATGAGAGAAAGCACAACAGTGATTCCAGGGTATCAAATGTGTAGTGTAACTAAAGCTGTATAGGCCTTTTTCACTGTGGATCTTTCGATTTGTCAAACATAGGGTAACCTTGGGGGGTTGGTAAATCAATAGAGCTTAGTATCGTGATATATTTTGTGTCAATACTGTATCTTCAGACTGTGCCAAGTATCATTATGTTTTATTATACAGATTATAAATATTGCAAGCACAAATTTAACATGAGGTAGCCTACTAGAATAATATAATCAATTGCTTTTTCAGTCGAGAAGATACATTTTGCTATTACAAAAAATGGCTGAGGTGAGGTGAGATGAACACGCTGAAAAATGTAGATTAGATAAAACAGATGTTTTCCTTCAGGGACATAATTTACAGTTGAAAAAAGGTAACAAATTACAAATTATTTTATCGCAATACTCAGCATATCCCAACAGTACATATCGTGATTTAAGTATTATGATAATATCATATCGTGAATCCTCTGGGCTGGGTAGTTCAAAAGGTGTAATCCGGATAAAAATGATCCGGTTTGGTAATCCATTTTTTCCTTTCATGGATCCATTTTTTCCTTTCATGGATCACGTATTTCAGCTCACTTTTGTCCCATTTCAAAAAAGAACTGGATAGGATCACTCTAAATCAGTCATTACATAAATCCGGATTACCAGTAGTTTAACTGGGATGCAGGGGGTGCAAAAATTCACACAAAATAAAAGATCCTTAATTAATTATATTTGATATTAACAGCTATTTCATGAAATATTTCATCAGCAATAAATCCATTATTATATCCCCAGCCATGTTTACCTCACTTACTTTGTCATGATATGGATGCAATAATTCAAGTTGAAAATATTGAAACATTTTTCAAATATTGAGAACAACAGGTAGATCAGCAAGCATGGGGTAATAGTAAGTGTTTTTATTTCAAAATTAGAAAAAAGCATTACAAAGAAGACCTCTGATGGTAAATTTCTTTTTAACATTCAGTCCACTGACCTGACAACCAATAAACATCAACCTTTAAATCATAAAAAGCCAATAATTTCAAAAAAGAAAAATAAAGACTTCAGAATTCTTCAGCTGTCGCAACACCAGCATTTTGTAGATGTGCTTTAAGGAGCTGAATTTCAAGTCTGGCTTTAGTCTGCTGTAGTTGCGCAAGAGTAATTTGTTTCTTGGCCAGACAAATCCGTACACCTGCTCTTTCAATTTCACGTTTGACAAGTGTCATATAAGCATCATCATTATCGGTCTTTGGCAAAGAACTCTTAAAGCCTCTTTTCTTGGCTCCTGAGGCAGTAGCTGCTGGCTCCACCATTGATGATCCACCTTCCACAACAACAGGGCTGAGGTCAAGAATGAATGTGTCCTCT